GTCTCCTGGCTCCCAACCCCTTTTTCATAGCTGTTCCTGTTTTGTGTCCTTTTGTTGTCCAGGCGATTCACAGACTTTCCCCATCATGTGTTGACTGCCAGCCAAATGCATCAGAAGCCCCCCTCTCCTCTGTCCCCACCCTGACCCCTTTCCCAGATTCATCCCCATCTGGCTTTACCCAAAGTAAACCTCTTCAAGGATGCACTAATGTCTTCACACTCTGGGACAGCCTACAGAAGGGGCATAGTTCCACTCCTCTGACTGGGATTCCCCCCCCCCTTTTTTTTTTTTTTGCTAAAATAGCTCGCATTTATGAAGTGAAAGTCATTTCCGAACTCCATGCAAATCTTGCCCCTTGATTTGGTGACCCCTCTTCTGATTCAGCTCCACAAGCTGACTATGACCACACGGGGGCGCCCCAGTCCAGGGAACGATATTTATGGCCAGAAGAACTCTGACTCCGGAGATACCAGACCCAGGGACCAGAGCTCAGGCCTTAGCCAGCCTGGTCCCAATTCTCTCCCCATCTTCTCTAGTCCTATCTTTTCTTACAGCTGAGAAAGGCCTGCCGCTAACTTTTCCCACCTCGCTGCACTGCCTAGTAGCCCTGCCCGGCAGGTAAGACTAGAGGGGTTAGATGCGGGGCAGGGTGGCTCTTGGACTTTCTCCTCCCCTAAAGTCGTCTCCGTCTGCACAGGGACGATACTTTGGGAAATTAGATGGCCCCGTTGCACCTCCTGCCAGCCCGTTGTTCAGCACCGCGGACAACGACTCCCTCTCCGGCTTCTTTACACTCAGGCGTTGTCTCCAAGCACACAGCGCTTTAATTCAGGGGGTATCCCGCCCCCATTTGGGACTGCTGTTAAGATAACCCTCCTTCAAAAAGAGAGCTCCTGGGAATCCTATTTCTTATTTCCAAGTCCCGTGTAGAGCTATCTACAGAACGGATGCTTATGACATGAAACACCATTGCCAACATTTGACCTTTCTATTTCCCTTGGTAGTAGGTAGGTAGGCAGGCAGGAAGTAGCATTCCCCATTTTACAGAAAAAAGTGAGGCCCAAAGACAGCAAAAGTCGTACATAGCTAGTACTCACACTTCCATCCCTGCACCTTCTAATACAAGTGCTTCCTCACCTTCTTCACCCAATCAATCTCTGATTCAAACAGCCACGTGGAGGGGGGATGAGTCCCTTAAAGGGGAGACTCAATTAAAGCGGGAGGCAAACACTGACTAATGTGGTGCTAATGAGGGCCCTGGGGGCCCTTACTGCTCTCAAGGACCCAGAGGTGGTGAGAACAGTTCAAAGCAGAGCCAGACGGCTGGGCCTTCAGATTCCATCCAGGTCTCGGGCACATCTAGGACACATGTGGGGCCTGCCCAAGAGGAAGGGCTTCCCTTTCTGGGAATCGTGGCACAGGGATGAGGACCTCCGCAGGGTCGGTGAGTCAGGGAGACACTGTCCGAAGGCATTCCATTCTGGCTCTTATACCCATCCCCAAGTCTTAACCTCGCTCCCCTAGGCACAGACAAGGATCACCTCCTTCCACCTCCCAGCTGGTGCAAACACAGGGGAGAATCTACCCCTTCCCATTCTCTGTTGCAGTTCTTGGGCAGGCTGCACGATAAAAGACAGAAACACACATACGTGGAAATGTACACAAGTGTCACCCCCACACACACATGGATCTGCCTACCGAACCCAGTGACGTGCACGGGCACAGAAGTACTGGTCTCACAGCTCCCCCAGTGTGGGAGAGTGGATGTCTGGGCAGCAGAGGGGTTTGGGGGACAGTTACAAGGGGATGCCACAAGGCACCTTCCAAGCCTCAAGCTGCTATCCCTGGGTCGGGAGAAGAGGCAAGAGGATGTGTTTTCCTTTGGGTTTGGGTGAAGTTCGGGTACGGCTGTTGGGTGTTGAAGGAACTTCTGTGGTAAGAATGATCTCTGAGTACTTTATGGGGGGAGGGCCTGACCCAGCATTAACCAAAGCTCCCAGGTAGGAGCCAGGTGCTGCTCCCAGGAGCCAGGCCACACACCTGGACATCTGAGTCCCTGTTTGGGTCCACCTGGGCTATTTGTAGAAAACATGGGGTAAGCAGCAGTGTGTACTAAAGATCCCCTTCTGCACCAGGAAGCCAGAGAAACAGCTAGCTTAAGACACATCACTGACACTCACAGAGCCCCACTGAAGATACCACATGAAAGTACACAATCAGCATCAAAACACCAATATAACCAGCATAGTCTCACAATCACAAAACACAATGCAACCCGCCTCCACAAACACTTGCCCCACGAGTTCACAAAGTCTTACAAAGAGACATACCACCATGAAGTGAAGCCCTGACACATTCCTGCAGACACGTACCACTTCACACTGAAGCACATACTCAAAGCACAGAGTTGCACATAGAACAGAAACATATGGTCAAACAACTTCATTAGTACAACCAGGGCACTACACAACTTGCTCCATCTGACAAGATCACACGACTGCACAGCCACATACAATCGCACTCACCCTGGCCGTCACCAAGCCCAGGGCACATGGCAACCAGCTGTGGGAGGCGCACACACATATATACACAGACAGACAAAGAATGACAGGCGCTCGCTCACGTATCACCTCCCACCACAACCCTCCCTGCCTTGTGTCACACGGGCCCACACCTGCTGCCTCTCCCCACCTGCCCACCTGCTCTCCCCACCCTGTTACCCCACCTTGGGACCCAAGGCTTTAAACCCCAGTGCCCTGGGGCCCAGAACAGCCAGAGGGTGTCTGGGAATGGGACAGAGTGAGGGTAAGGGCTTGGCAGGGGGTAGAGGCATGAGAGTCTGGGGGGAATGGAATCTACCCTCCCTCCAGCGACCCCCATCCACCGACTCACCGGTGAGCTGGTCATAGGATCCGTCCAGGTCTCGGGAATCGGACAAACTCTCTTTGCGACCCTGGCCCCGCATGGCCCCCGGCGACCCCCTCCCGTCCCGCCTGGGCCTTGGGAGGGGGCGCCGGGTGGCCAGGGTAGGACGCTCACACGGCGCCCTCTGGCGGGTAGCAAACGGAGGGGCTGGGGGCCAGGAGAGTCCCGACTGGGGTGAAGAGTCTGGGGACTTGGATAGGTCTAAGGCCCACCCGGGGGTCCTGAGACAAGAGAGGAAAGGAGCCTTGGGCAGTAGGTGAGCGCAGAGCCGGAGGCAGAGCGGAGCTGAGCAGAGCCCGAGCCGAGCCGCCTCTCTCCTCCCGCCCCCTCCCCGCGGCTGTCATCGCTGCCTCCCCCCTTTGGCGCTGCCGGGATTGGCTCCCCCTACCCCCGCCCCCTCCTCTTTGCAGCTCGGAGGAGGCACCCGGTGAAAGGGTGAGCTGGGAAGTGCGGGGATGGAGACAGGCTCTCCAGCAACACTATCCCCTAAACCTGAAGCCACGGGCCTTGGGGGTGGAGGAGAAAGCAGGGCCAAAAAGGCCCCACTATGAGGAAACCCCGCCCCCAATTCTCAGGCCCTCTTTCCCCACCGCCAGCACCGGTCAGGGGAAGTCTCGTCAGGGTCTCCGGTTAGTCAGTCTCTCTGCAGCCCCAATTTTTCTGTCGTTCTCTGTGGTGGGTCTCTGTGCCCTCCACCGCCAGTGCCCACCCTGCTTGAAGGGGCCTAGAGATGCAGAAGAGGGGTCAACTTGGCCTCTAATGCAGGCTTAGCTCAGGCAATTGGACCGTGATTCTTTCCTCTGAGAAATACCCCAACCCTCACCCACCCCAGGACCCCTATTCATTCATTCTCAGGGGATCTTCTTTCCTGATCTGATGACTGCCCCCCGCTGGCCAACTAGGGAGAATGGGGAAAGAAAGTCAAACATCAGTTTCTCAAGACTTTCTTGCTCTTTGTTTCTTTCAATTTTCCTGGCCCCCTCTCAGTCACCTGCTCTGACCTGGATTCCTTCTGTTTTCCTTAAGATTTGCGGTGATGTGGTGTGGGGGGTACTGAGGGTTTGGGGATCCAGGCAAGGATCCACAGTGGGGAACGTATGCTTGTGTTACGAGTCCCATTCCCTTAAATGAGCTCCTTTTCTGAAGCCCGAGGCTAGCTGGAGCTGGCTTTCTGGAGCTGGCTACCCCCAGCTCCCAGCAACAGCTGGCTGCTTAATGGCTGTGCCTTCTCTTCTGACCTTCCCCAGGATGCTGCCTGGGCTCCTAGCCCAGGCCCCCCAATGCACCAGAGAGCCCGCAACACCCCAGAGAGGACAGAGGCGGGGCAGTGTCTGGGGGGTCTGGGTGCATGGCGGCAGTGTTCCAGGAATTCCTGCGAGCCTCATGGCTCCTTTGGAGGAGTGACCCGTTGAGACTCAAAGTTTCAGCTAAAATGACCCCAACACATTGAACTTCAACTGAATTTAATTTCCAAGTATTTGATTCCGTTAACTGGGCCTAAATTATGGTCGGGCATAAGAAGGGGACAGGCAGCCAAAAGGCTGTCTTTGGGAGCAGGGTCCTGCTCCTAGCTCTCCCCTGGCTCTGCAGGGTCCTGCACAGACCTGACACAGACGAGGGGGGGAGGACAGAGCACGGCAGCTCCTTTTGGGGTTTGACTCTAGAATAGGATGGGACTCCTGTTTAGAGTCCTTAGAATAAGATGGGCCAGAGATGCGTGGGCCTTTACGATGGAATCCTTTGTTTATTACCGCATGCCCTTGACCTGCCCTAATGCACATTGTAGGAAAGACTGGCAGGAATCCATGAGCTGCCCAAATGGGCTGCTGTCCTCAATACCAAGTTTGGAGATAAGGGAACTGTCTTCTCCCTCCTTCCACCCAGAAGGCATGGGAGGCTACACCTCCGAACTGAATTTGCTTCCTCTGCAGCCAGGAGAGTCTGTAAGGATGGCAGGGGGGCCTAGTCAGATGGCACCGGCACCTGGAAGATTACTTTAACTTTGTGTTTGGGAAGTGAGTTTTGGGTAAGAGATTAAGAAGAGGAAGAAAAAAAAAAAGACACTAAAAAGACTGTCCCATACAAATCAATTTTTAATAATTTCAGCTTGCCAACAGCTTCCAGCTCCTCCAGGGTTTACCACTGTGGAAAACACTAAGTGCCCCGGGTTGAGCTGTCTGTCTAGTGACCAGAGGTGACCCAGCTGCTGATCTCTTGAGAATCTACCTCCTTCCTTGGCAGCATGTTGGTGGAGCCTCTGGTCCTAGAGCATGTCCGCTCCACGTCGGAGCCAAAGCTCTGGTTCCAAAGCAGGGCAAGTACCCCTCCCCTGAAGTTTCAGTGAACAGCAACCAAGAAGGTCCCGGGCTTGCGCTCACTGCTGGATTTCTGCACTTCCTCCACACTCCTCCTCCCTGCCATCCTGAGGCTTTAGAAAGTGTTTCAGAAAGGGGGGATCTCAGAGCAGCAGCGACCTAGGAGGCAGCGGTAGGTAGCTGCCTACAGCAGTCCAGAGACTGTCCAGAGGAATCACAGGCCAACTTCTCAAAAGTCAGGAGACTTGCCCGTGGCTCCACCCAGAAAACAGGTAGACAAAATGGCCTCTCCAGGATGCTCACCTGGCCTCTGGTACACGAGGGTAGACGAGGGTGCTCTGCCCCCAGCAGGTTCTCTCCCTCCCAGGCACCAAACCACAGCAGGAACAGATTCCTCCCCAGAGGAAATTCTCAGGCAGGCTGGATGTAAACAACAGCCGGGTGAGGGGGTGGAACTCTGGAGGGGAGCTCAGCAGAGGCAGGAGAGGCTCCCAGAGGAGGGGGTGGCTAGGGAGGTGGGAAAGCTGCTGGAAAGGGAACCAGCAAAGTAGGCACCTGAGGGTTCCAGAAAACCTGTCAATGTTTACTTCACACCCCCCCCAAGACAGTCTAAACCAGATTAAAAGTGAAAAGCTCAAGTTGTGGCCCTACAGTGCTGACGAGCCAATGGGTTGGAGGGTAGGGGAAAGCGAACAGGTACTCCTGGTACCAAGAATCAAATCCAGAAAGTGGTGACGGGACAGCCCAGCACTGGATGGCTTCTAATCTTCAGTCTCCCAGAGAAGTCAGCTCTGGGTTTAGAAAACAGAAAACAGGTACTCCGTTCCTACCCTGCCCGAAGCCTGAGCTAAGAATCCGAACGACTGGACAGAGGGCCAGCAGGGGCGGGGGCGGGGGCAGATTTCAAGCCCAGCTCGGCCCCAGGCCAGAAGAAGCAGAATTAGCTCCACCTGGATCTGAGAGCTGTCAGTTTTCAGAAGCCTAGGAGAGCCATGGATCCTCAAGGTGCTGGCATCACCCGAAGGCTTGCCCCAAGAGCGCCTGGAAATCGGTTAGTAGCCACAACTTGTAATCTGAATTGGAAATGTGAGGGGATGTCCAGGGAGCCCCCTGGCCCCTGGACATGCCCTACATTCTCGAAGGCTTCTCTCTGTGCCCACCCATCCCTCCCCAATTACCCCCAGCTTGCCCCTCCTGGCACCTGCTGTCTAAGCTCCACTGAAGTGCAGCCTTCACCAAGAGAACTCGGTGTCTGTGTTGTTCTCCAACCTTGGGGACAGCCCCTCTCCCCTATGCCCCCTCCAGCCCCGCAGTCTCATGGATAAGGGCGGACAGTGGCTGCTCAGGCTGGCAGGGCCTCAGGAGATAGTGGAGAACTCCTTGAGCAGGACTTCCTGGCTGAGTGTGTGGAAGGCCAGGTTTCTCCGCACGTTGGTGCTAATGGATCGAACCTGGGAAGGGGTGGGGGAAGGTAGGAGGACACAGGCAAAGAGAAAAGAGGAGAGCGTCATTACAAACAGTAGAGGGCAGTGCCTAAGGCAAGAGCATGAGTCAGTGCTAGAAGTTTCTCTTAGGAAATGAACCCTCAACAGCTATCACCCCTGTAGACAAATAAGCAAACAGTTCCGTTTGCTGATAGTGGGAAGAAGAGAGATTGAGAGACCAAAACTCTTCAGTACGGAGAAGAGGATCTGAGCACCTGACAAGACAGGAGCAAGCAGACAGGGAAGGGGGGCAGGGCAGGCCTTTGTCGGGGCCTCTGCCACGCAGAAGGATGACTGGCCTGGCCAGTGGTCTAGTGGAGGAGAAACTGACGCTACTAGACTCCAGCTCTGGAGTACCGCCCTTTGGATGTTTCTGGTCTCCTTACTCTCCCTTTGTATTTATCAACTTTTGGGTGGTTGGGAAGAAAGTCTGGAGGTGCAGCCCGTGTCTGGCATAGATGGCAGGAGTATGAGCCAAGGAGGCTAAGGACCAGGATCAGGTCATACAGCTAGTGAGTCCAGGCCTGGGGCAGGACCCAGGTTTCTCAACTCCTGGTGCAGCCCTCTTTCCATACCACAAACATGTCTTCCCACTTTGGAGGAAAAGTCTGGGGGGTACCCCTGCTGGGTCCCTCCTGCTCACCTCACATTCTTTCTACGCACAAACCCAGAACCTTGCAGAAAGCGGTGCCTGGTTTGGCAGGGACAAAGACCTGAGGGGAAGGGGCTGGAGGGCCAAGCCTGTTACTCCTAGTGCACTCGGAGAGGAATCCAAGGAGACTCGCTCAAGAGAAACAGATGTGAATGCTGTGTGAGAGAGAAGGGGGTGGGGAGGAAGGAGAAAGAGCATGCGCATCTGTGCTGGGCCCCAGAGCCCAGGGAGCTTTCCCTCAGTTTCTCCTCTGCCATGGTGAATGCAATGGAGTTGGCCGGCTGGGGGCAGAGGACAGGGTGGCATGGTGGAGAGCCAGCAGCTCCAGCTCATTAGCTCTCACACCCAACCAGACCCCTCCGTCCCCCTACGCCAGAGGCACAGATGTAAGGAGAACTGAGTGTGGTAGCAGCTAGCATCATGGAGCCTTGAGATGGAGCTCCTCTAGCCCTCTGCTCCACAGCCCCCTTCACCTCCCAGGAACTTACTCTTTGTTACATCTTGGCCCTCAGTAATTGCTCATCACCCTAAAGACTTGCTAACAAATCCATAAAAATACTCTATCTCCTTACACTAATGGCTTCCCCTTTCCCAACTAACTTACCCCGGAGTATGTCTTCCTCACCCTTGGGAAGTCCCAAATCCCAGGAATGGCACATGAGGGTCAGAGTTGGGCCGTGTTCAGTACAACACCGATGAGCTAGGATCCTGCACTCTATCTTGGACTGGGCACAGAGTAGTGAGAGCTGGGCTGATGCCAATCTCTGGCCCAGTGGTGGGAGGTCAGAGGGCACGGGAGTAGGTAAAGAGGTCGGTGTGTCCTGGATGTTCACGTGCAACCAGACAGACGAAGGGGCAGGACCTCAGGGAGGCCGAGCTTTCTCTGAGAGCAGCTGTGAGCAAAGCACAGAAGGGCCATCCATGGGGAGAGTCCAGCTCTGTGGGGAGAGGCTGACTGGGAGGCGGAGTAGGAGGCAGAGCAAATGCTCACTGGCTCCAGGTGGCCGAGGATGGGGGCTGCAGGAAGCTGAGTGATGGGAAAGTGGGAGTGGGGACAGGGAGCAAAGACTGGAGAACTAGATGTAGGGGGGTTGAGGGGGGGCGGCACTAGGACCAGGAGCCAGCTAGTGATTGAGGAAGTGACTGCATAAGGAGAAGATTCAATTACTCTCGTTATTTTCTCTGAGGACATGATACAGAATAATGGGCCAGAGCAACCACTGGGAGCTGGAACCCCAGGCCCAGCTGGAACAGTGCAAGGGCTGTCTCCATGGCTGCCTCTGGCTTCTCATACCCCCTTAGCCTGGCCTCAGTCTCCTGGGGTGTATCTTCTCTCACTGCCTGGTCCAGGTCTGCTTTGGGAGGAAAGCTGCACACCCAATCCCAGCAGTCTCCTCGAGTCTTACTTCAGCCTTTGGCAAACTGAGGTTGCTCCCCAGACGCCCACCTGCATAGCAGAACCCAGTGGCTGGGAAAGGGCCCCCAAAAGACACAGGTAGAGATGAAGATGTAGCAGACTCACCAGCTCTTTGAAGAAGGCCGCTTCCTTGTGCTGCTCCGAGTAGCGCTCATACTGGTCCAGGCCATCCTGCAGCTTCAGCGTGAGGGTGTCATAGTTAGCTCGCACCACCTCCAGCACCTGGGGGAGGACAAAGGCCAGCAGGGCTTAGTCCAGGCAAACTCTAGGTCACTCAGCCCCATGCAGGCCCCTCCTGCTGCCCCACTGCATTGAATTTAGCCTGGGGCAATGCCCCCAGGAGACCTTGCTCACTACTTCTCACCCCTTCCCTCCCTCCAAAATACTCTGGCCACAGGGTGCAGCTCCTCAGGGTTCCAGGATTACTGTCTAATTTCTTCTACTCCCCATTCTTCCTGCCTAGTCCTGCCAGGCCTCCAAGGCTGCTAACTCTGGGTGTGGTAAGAGCATGAGAAGAGGTCACAGACTAGCGCGTGCCTAAGCTCACCGACATCTCAGTATCGTTAGTGTGTTCTCAGCTTTCTCTGGCCAGCTTATCTCGGTTGCTCAGTGAGACTTTGCCAGGGTCTCCTTCCATTCCCCTTTTTGGGAGCCATCTTTCCTCATTCCTGGGATGTTCCTCAGCACCATCTGCCACTTGTTTTCATTTCTCAACGCCAACTCAGTCTTCCTATCCATTGCCTGATCAATCTTTTGCGTATCCCAGCCTTTGGGTATAGGGGACACTTTCGAGACTAAGCTAGAGATAACGTCATCTTTTTTTCCGATGAGGGGCTTTCTCCCCCACCGTGCCTCTCTCTGACTTTCTGTGGTGGGGATTCAGACCCCCACCGACTCCAGGAGCTTGGATCTCTGTGTTTCCAAAAGGGAGGAGCTACTGTAGCTGGTCCTGATGTGACTTTAGTTTATAAGACCGTGATTCAAAGGCAAGGACAATTAGGAAGAGAGGCACTACATCAAGTTAGAAAAAATGAGCTTGGCAGAAAGGAAGGACCAGGAGTGGGAATGGCTTTGACTGGGGTAATCTGGAGGACAGCTGTTTTGCAACCTGATGGGACCTGGGAGGGAAGTCTGTAGCATCATGGAGCTCTCCCAGCTCTGCAGGGAGCTTAGGAGAATGAGTGAGTAATGAGGGAGGCTGAGCTCTAACGGCAGATGGGCCTGAAGGGGTCAGCCAGAGTCAGGACTGGTCAGAGGGCTTGAGGATGAACTCTTGTGGGGCTCAAAGGTGTCTCTGGGCTGTTCTCACCAGTTTGGTCTTGTGCCAAGGCAGACTTCACTTGGTAGCAAACACTTCTGCCTGACAAAAATTCCTGAGGAGAGAGTATGGATGGAAGACACAGGGAAGGCTGTGTCCCGAGTTTGGGAGGAAAGGCCAACTAGGGCAAAGGTATTATTGGCCCAGGCTTTGGGCTCATTACCTCCAGACACCAAGTTCCTCAAGGCGACTTTGCCTGGTTATGTACCCAAAGACCCCAATATGGGCTGGCTCCTTTGCTTCTAATGCCATTTAGAAGGGTGCTGGGCCTCCATCAGCAGGAGGTCCAGCACCCAGCAATGGCAGTTACCCACAAAGTGCTTTGGCCCTCTCATGCACCTGGGCTGTGTTCATGGCTAGAATATCCACAGCCATGGCCTTGGCTCAGAAGCAAGTGGCTCAAGCCCAGAAAAAAGCACAACTCCTCCAAGACGGAAGCAGCCCTCAGACACCAGGCGTGGTAGAATCATGGAGGCCTTCTTGAACTCTGAACGATGAGCAGCCTCAGCAGTACCTACAGCCCAGCAGCTTGGTCTCAGCCCTCCCTGAGGGGTGTCACATGCCAAAAGACAAATATTATGCTAAAGCCAATTTCTGAGAAGGTGCAGCATGTCAAGAGATGCTACTTCCCGAGGGCCAAGGGCCTCAGGCAAGGCTGACTCCATCACCTGGGCTTTTTCTTCGTGCCAGGGCAGAGTAGAAATTCTAAGATCTCACTCAGAGCAGGGACTTGTCCTTTCCCAGTAAAGCTGGCTTTTGCCAGAATAGCTTAGTTCAGTTTCTTGCAGGAAGGTGAAAGCAAAGAAGGGCCCTGAGCTATCAGCTCCTTAGAAGAAAACCAGGGGGCTTGCTGGACTTGGTGCACGATCTCAGCTCTCCTCTGTCCTGACCTTACTTCCTTTCGCCCTCTTTCACCCAGGGGAAAATTGCCTTTCAGTTCCCCTGGCCTCTGCCACTTCCTGCCTCATCACTTCTCTTAAATTCCTAAAAGAAGATGACCTTCCAAGCCTAGGCATGGGCTCTAGCCCATTTGGGACTTTGGAGCACCAGGGGTACTTTCCTAGTTTGGGACTTTGCTCTCTCTAGCTTTGGGCTTTAAGAAATGTGTTGCATTTGGGCCCCACACTCACTACTGGCCCGGGACCTGGCAGGAGCAGCACTTAGTCAGTGGGCTGCCTCCCAACGCCCTTGTGCCTACCGGTCGTAGGTTTCACCGTAATTTTCAACCTCAGCCTCTGGCTTCCAGGCCCCGCCAGGATGAGGTTCCTCCCTAATCCATCAGGTAACAGTCTACCTTCCAAGTACAAGCCTACCTTCTTTCATCAGTTGTTGGGCTTGTGGGCTTCCTAGAAAGAGGCCCACCACCTCAGCTCCAGGCAGCTCCAAAGTCAGTAAGTCACCTGACTACAGGTCACACGCTCTCCAAGGAGTCCGTACTGGCCCTCGGCAGACAGGAACCTAGCAAGAGGCCTGACCGGACAGAACTGGGAGTCCCACTCTCACTGTGGGATCTCAGATAATTCACCTAACCTCTCTGAGCCTTAGCCTTTCTCTATGAAGTAGAACTTAAATTTAGCTTCCTAAAATGACACAGGAATAAAAGTTTCGAGTTCCCGAAAGTAACATACAATTGTTGGAAATGTTATTATCCCAATGGCTCAGCCACTCTTGGGACTCCAGAGTAACTAACCGCCTTCACAGCCCACTTCAAACTACCTCGAAGATCCTGTGTGCATAAATGACTGCTCACCAGAAAGAAACATCTTCTGGATCTAACTGGAAGACACATATGGCCTCTGTTTAGGGAAGAACTAACTGGTGGGACGGGGGACCTAAATCCCTCCCCTGAGGTCTCCTGAGGGGAAGGACCTGACATTGGCCTTGAGGTCAGAGAGACCTGAATTTGGGCCCATCAACCACTAATTAGCTACGTAAACTGATACACATTACTTCATCTCTCCAAGTCTCAGTTTCCTCATCTGCACACTGCAGATGACACTATCTACCTGCTAAGGCTGATGTGAAGATGGAATGAGAAGACTGTCCAGTGTCTGGCACATAATGAAGTCAGTAAGTGGTTACTAATTTTATGACGAAAGCTTCTTTCTGGTGACAATGGGCATTTGGTAGTTTCATTAATCCGCAGATAGTTTTAACCATAAGCCTGGAGCTAGGGCCCTGTACATCTCCATGTAGGCTATGGCATATTCTGGTGAGGAGAAGGCCTCAATCAATATGAAAGCAGGCTTGCCATAATGACCCCACTGTCCTGAGTAAACTGGCAGTGCATCAGCCGCAAGTCAGAGAATACCCAGTACCCACTGCCAGCCTTACCGACCTTGGAAGTGCACAGGGACGCAGGTTATACTAAAGAAACACTGAGAAGAGATACCCACAGAGGCCACCCTGCATCATACGGTTTCCAAGGCTCTTGGCCACAGCAGGATCAGGAAGGACAGAGATACCAGCGCACAGAGTTAGTGTGGAATTGCTAAAGAGGGGTCAGACACACACCTTCCCCCAGCACTCACAGGGACACTCCCCACAGACTGTTCCATGGCCTGTGCCCCATGTGTTTTAACAGAGGCTTTGAAATGAGAAGTTAACTTCTACTCTGAAGATAGCAGCAAAGGAGAATAGGCAAGTTGGAAAAGTTCCTGGCACTGGCTATCCCACCCTGGTGGCAGAGGGCTTTTGCTTTGTGCCTGAAAAATTGCTTAGTCTCAGATCTCTGTTGGACTAAATTTCCAGCAGAATGAGAGCTAGGGGACAACCAAGTAAAAGGATGTGACCTGACAGCAAGCTTCTTTTCATCACCTTCTTCTCAGTTTGAACACACCTTAACAAGGGCATGGCAGAATGTATCAAACCTGGTTTTGAAGAAACTGAAACTGTGGACTGTATATTTGGGGAGTAAAGTGACATTCTTCCCCTTCCTTTCAACCTTTTGCTCATCCTTTCTGCAGGATTTATTTTCAGCACCAGGCCTGAGCCTGAACAGCCTGCCCTTGCGGCGGCAGGCCCCGACAGAGCCCGAACCGTGGGCACCAGACCCACAGACCTGTCAGAGGGAATGGCCCTCCCCAGGGCTGCTGTTCAGGGGCCTGCTTGCTGATGGGGGACTCTGCCCTCAGAATTAGCCGACACAGTAAGGGAAAGTGGAGGAGGTGGTAGATAAAACAGAAGAAACCTTGAATATCTTCCTTTTCCCTGTCTTAAAAGGTGTGACACGATTTCAACCTGGCTGCCCATGCACTGGTTTTGCAGCTGACTCCAAACCAACCCAGTGTTACTGGCTCAACCCTGTTATGTGCTTACATCTGTGGGTATGCACTTCATGGTGGTTTACTCTGATTCCTCATTTTGCTTGTTAGCTCCTTAAAAGCAGAACTTGGCTCTGAGGGCTTTGGTAATCTATCAGAGTGCTGAGAACAGTGCTGGGTGTACGGTAATGGCTTAGCTCTAATCTTACTGTGTGACCTTGGTGAGAGATTCCTTTCCTTTTTGGTTGGGCCTGAGTGTTACTAAATAAGTCCACAAGCATGTTGGATGTTTACTGTTTCTTAGGACTCTGTGAGGCCTTGTGGAAAATCTATAATGTAACACTGGGTCTCTTTCTTCTGAGCCCTGAGAATCAAGCTGTGTCCCAGTTTCAGTGAGGAAACTGACAGTAGCGGCAAGCTTGTTTCTCCGGAAGAGGGCATGCCACTCTGCCCATCTACACCTGCCAATGTGTGCACCTCAACGCCGCGTGTCCTTCCCTCCACAGTGAATCCCTTACTGGTAAGCCTGTAGAGGACAGGTCTCTTCCAGAAAGTCAGGGAGGGCAGCATCTACTTATTTATAACAGGTATTGGATTTTCAGGTCCTAAAAAGCAGCAGTTCATGGAGACATATTAAAATG